TTTATATTTGCACTTGTATTCAATTGGTGCCAAATTTTGCTTGAAAATGTATTTTTATCAACTATGGAGGCTTTGTATACTAAAACTTGTAAATGGAATGTAAAAAGGCTTTAGGCCATGTTGGTACATCTATTTTATCATATTGCATGCACTTGCATACTCACTTTGGCAAACAACACCATCCTTGATGAAACAAAAACTTTAAGTAGCATTTTTAGGGAGTTTTATCATATTCTGTTCTAGGGGCATTTCGGGTATTTCACAATGTGTTTTTTTTTTTTTAATTTTTTTTTTTATTTTTCATCATGAGTCACGTAGAAAACTCAATTTTGAGGGGGGTTTCTTGTTTGTGTTTTTCCAGAAAATGCCATCTTGGGCCTCAAAAATCCATATTTGTCTGAAAAATCCTTGCTGCCAGGTTTTGCAGATTTTTAGTGCAAATGTACTTGATACTATTCATCGACTTTTCTTTGAAAAGTGTGACGACCGATCCGAAACTTCCGGGGGTCTTGTGGGTGTATTTTAAGATTGCATTTTCAATTTAGGCAATTTAAAAACCTCCTAAAGCCCTATTTCCTTTCTTTGGGCAGCAGCTCAGAGAAATTTTTACCACGTTGACCAGATTTTCTTGGGGGCATTCTGGGCATTTTATAATGCATTTTTTTTTCGTTTCTGTTCGCGATCGGGGTAGGAAACTTGATTTTAGGGGGGGTTTCTTCTTTGAGGTTTTCCAGAAAAGTCCGTTTAGATGCTCGTTTTTACTCTCAGTTGCAGTAGTAGTGGGTTGACGGCACTGTAGCTGTCATGGCCTTCGTCGGGCCGCTGCGACGTCGATTTTGTTTTTGACCTTTCTCCCTCATCCGAACTCCAAATCAAGTGAAATTTTTTTTGAAATTGATTAATTTTTCATTGTCTATCCAACGGTGTGCTCAGTTGTACCTATATATTTCTAGATAATTACCAGTTTACCCCTTTTAGCTTTATTGCTTGTTTTTCTTTATTTTGTCGTTTTTCCTTCGTCCGGAATCCGAATAATAAAATTCTTGAGTCCATCATCATTAGTTTTTCATTGTCTTCCCAGTGGTATGCTCGATAGCACTTGAATCAAGTTTTTTGCAAAATGACCATTTTGCCCCTAGGTTCCTTTTTGTCCGTTTTTGAAACGACACTTCCGCATTTGTTTTCCTTTGGGTTCCATGACCTCATTGAGGGTCACATTGGTGTCTTAGAGACACATTGTATCTCTAGAGACCGTTGTTTCACCTTTCGCTTCCGCATTTCGGATCCATTATCGGGTCATCTTTTGGTCATCATTGACGCACCGGGTTTACAAAACTTGGGCCGTCACACGACTAATCGGATTGAATTCGGATCAGGTTTGGATCATAATCCAATCCATTAACAGGTCTATCGACATATCTCTCTTCTATAGTAACAGGTGAATCACAAAGAAATGCTCTCATATAGAGGAGAGAATAATTAGATCTAGAAAAAAGAAGAAGAAAGAAATGACTGATTTCTTTCTCTCATTCGTCACTTTCATACTAGGTCAAGAAAAGTCAAAAAGTTAACAAATGGACCCCACACGACCCCAAAAAGTAGTTGTCAAAACGTGCTCAAACGGACAAAACCCGTGAATAAAAATACCGGTATCGAAAATAATGAATAACAAAATTAACGGTGTCAAAAAATAATCCCGAATTGAAAATTTTGTCCTGAACCCATACGGTGACCTCTCGGGTAAAAAACCCAAAAATGAAGGAAATGGTCCGGAATGTATTTATAAGAGTCCAGAACTCGAATAAAGGCTGAAAAGAATTCCAAAAACCCTGTACACGTATCCCAATGTCATAAAAATAAAAGAAAAAGAAAATTCAAAAAATTGAAAAAAAGGATCAGTCTCTACACTTTAAATAAAATAAAGGCTCACGTGCGCTTTACACCCCTATGATATCGATATAGTGCGTATAACCCCCTATTGTTTGCTCACTTCCCTTTTACTTTAAAAATGGTGCGGATTAGTGCTCTTTGGGTGTTGATTTCTATTGACCGGTACCGGAGCTACAAAAAGACTAAAATAGCCCTCTATCTATGATTTAAAAATAATAATAAAATAACAAAAAAATGAAAAAAGACTAAAATAGCCTTCTATCAATAATCTATCTTTATTCTCGTTCTTCCCCCCCCCCCCCTCTCTCTCTCTCTTTCTCTGCAGTTACAAACTACAAAATCTTTAAGAATCAAATGTTCAAAACCCATATCGGCATATCATTTCAGATTGTTCAAAAAATCAAAACCCATATCTTTCAGTTTCCATCGCCCGCTGTTCTAATTCGAGTTCGCCATTCACAAGCTTCAGCCACTGTCTCTCAACTCTAAAGCTTGCCCCCCCCCCCTCTTTCTCTCCATGTAAGAGTATTCCCACTACCATCAAAAGCTATGAGTCTAGTAGCATTGGCTATTGATGCTGGAATTGATAAAGAGAATTGGTTGCATCCAAAATAATTTGTTCGGAGTTTTGGAAGAGTCCACCCTAAATCTAGAAGGAGGCTTCCAGTTAAGAGAAGATTAATGGAAATCGAAAATAATGTGATGGATGAGATATCATAAAATAGGGTAGGAACCGTACCAGATAAATTGTTTGAGCTCAGCTGAAGGTGCTCTAACTTTGAAAGCCAACCTAGTTGAAAACCCTTATATACTATATATATATATATATATATATATATATATATATATATATAGAGAGAGAGAGAGAGAGAGAGAGAGAGAGAGAAAAGTGCAAAATACTTTTGGCAAATTGCAACTAACCCCCCTGAACTACAAAAAACCCCCTTGAACTATGAATTTGTTGCATTTCAGTCCATTTCGGTGACTGACTTAATCGAAAAAAATAAAAAGTCTGTTTTACCCTTGAAATAGTTTTGACCAAAAGTTGACTCTATGTTCTCTCTCTTTCCACTCTCAAAACTCAAATTGCAGAGGCTTAATTTGGGGAAGCCAATAGTGAAAACTTAAAACACAATATATTTTTTCTCTGAAAGTTTCGTCTCTTTCCGATTGAAAAAAGGCATCCAACTATTGTTTTCTCTTATGATTGATAGCAGAGAAAATACAAAGAGATGCGAAATCGAATCGAAACACAGGTACCTACGAACACGCTTATTCCTGTTCCCAGTAGACTCTAGGTTTCATACTCATCTTGTCTCATGATCTTTCAAAGAATTTTTAATATATATTTATATATATATAAATAATATATATGTATACATTTTAGGAAGGAGCCAACGAGAGGAGAGGTTGATTTGGGGGAAAGCTTGGCTGTTGGCTCGGCCGTGGAGAGCTTGGGACGGTGGTGCAGCGGCAGTGAGCTCGGCTGGACTGAAAGAGATAGGTTAAAAGAGTTGGGTTTGGGTCAGAGAGAGAGATGAGGGGAGAAGATGTGGTGGTGGTGAGCGGCGAGTGGGGAGGGAGAGGTTGGGTGGGAGGCGATGAAGGAGTTGGGAGAGAACGTACGCTGCGACGGCGTCCGATGAGAGGAGAGGGTTGGGTTGGATCGACGGCGTTGGCGGTGGAGCTGTGATGGTCGCCGGCGTTGGCAGCGGAGACGGCTGGTTCGAGACGGCAGGGAATTAGTGACTAAAGAAGTCGCGATTCTGGTGATAGGCTGTTATGAAGAAGCTCGGTCGTGATTGGGTTTGATGGTAGCCGGCGGTGGAAAGGACGGCTCACGACCACCGGAAGCAACAAGCACCCAACCCAAGATGATGCCCCCTCCAACGACTCCTCCACTTTTGCCTTCACCGCCTTATTTTCGAGATTCCACCGCTGAACAAAAAATTCAACACCAAATCGCCATCTCTCTCCACCATTACAAACCCTAATTTTTGTTCTTTCCCAACCAGCTACCTCTACCATCCTCTCTACAATCCACTTGTATCTTTCTAATCCACCTGCCCAACCCAATTGTAACTGCCCAAATATTTGTGTTAATTCTTTCAATTAATTCCCCCTCCAATTCTAGATCTTTGCAACTAAAACTTATTTTTGTTCTGGGGGAAGAAGAATCTGTGGTGATGGTGATGGTGGCCATGAACGGATGATGAAGGTGCTCACCGCTGGGATGGAGTAATGAACATGAGAGCGTAGAGAGAGAGCGGCGCACGTGTAAGGGCGTGTTTGGCACTAAAATAAGTAGTGTAATTAGGGCATGTTTAACTGCGGACAATTTGGTATTTTCATATATTAAATGGCATTAGTGTCCAAAAAATTTAGTTTGATTGCTGTATGAGAATCACGCGCTCGTTTTTGGACTGCCGGTAGCCGAATGGAGTGATCTGCAATAAATTTGTATAGTTCAGGGAGTTTTCTACAATTTTATGGGGTTAGTTGTAATTTTTTCAATAGTTTAGAGGGGTTTTTTTTTGTACTTTTCGCATATATATATATATGGTGAGGGGTAGTAAAGAAATATAAGAAGGGCAATTTTGAGAATAAAGGGTTTAAAATGGCACATGACCAACTGACGTCTAATTTCCACCGAAATTCTCACCGGAGGTGCTTAATTGTACATTTTTATATCTAATATGAATTTATATAAACAAATCTAACTGAAAATGTGTAATTTGTACAAATTAAAAACCATACGATGTTTTTCAGACTTTCTCCTAAAATAAAATTTAAAAATTCACTCTTATCCATATAATAAAAATATATATTAAAAAGTCCATGCTGTAAAAAATTGGATTCCCAAATATTTATGGACTTTTGGGTCCACTGTGGAGAGTTCAACTCTTCGGAGGAGGAAGAATTGTCTTTTTTATTTTTTAAATAAAAATAATGTTTCTCGAAGTCAGAAATTAAGATGGTTAAACACATGAACCTTGCGTGTGCGAAATACGCACGTATTTGGTGAATGAAGAAAGACGAGATTGAGACGACAACTGAAACCCATTAATATAAACCCAAATATTTCTACTAGAAAACAAAATTCAATGTGAGCTGTAAAAAGTCCACTCAACAAATATACATATACCACATATTTATTTTATATATTTTAATTTAATACGAGCATTCCGATATGTAGATACGGATCCATATCTTGGACTCTTGTTCATATTTATTCCAAATCCGGTTAACACACGTTAATTGAGGAAACGGCTTTCGCGGATTGTGCTCCACCTCACCACCCTCCACTTCTTGTCATTTTCTCGGAATCCAATCACATCCCAATTATCGATTGCTCCGATTGGGTTGATTAGTAAGGCTTTTGGGGCTCAAATTCTCAAATGGGTATTGCTGTTCTTGGTCAGTTTTTGCTCTCTTTTGCTTGATTCGTACTGTTCTGTTTTAATTGTTGCGAGTGCTATATTGGGTGCTCTGTCTTGCTGCTGATTGTGATTGTCTGAAGTTTTGACTATCAGGTTCAGTGCTTTTTTGCTGGATGATTTTTGTTTTGTTTTGTTTTGTTTTGTTTTTGTTTTTTGAATTTCGATAGAAAATTTAAGAATGTGTTGTGTGGGAATTAGTGCGGATGTAATGTATTAGGTGTGAAATTTTGATGCTAGTATGTTAGATATACAGGAAATCATTAGATGAATTTGCCCCCCATTTTTTTATTTTTTATTTTCTCTCTGTGGATATACTAGTGTATATTGATCTCATGTCTTCTGTTTCATGGTTGTTACAAATAGGAAGCATTTATTCTGAAAATTGCTTCATATCTTTATTTTGAATTTATCTTCTATATCCGTGAATAATGTATATTGCATTGGAGTTGTGGAAAATCCATTTATCATTAGATGTTTTAATTCATAAAATACAATGCTTTTGTAATCAAGTCTCTCTTTGGTGATTGTGTTGGATTAAATCAATTTCCCCATTCTCTCTTTCTCTTTTTAAGGTAAGATGAGAGTTATTTAACCAAAGAGATAGAGAGTGCAAAAGACTTACAGTCGAGTATGGAAGCGCGCCTCCAAGTGCAACAAACACATATAAAGCACTGTCTTAAGTCTTATTTATGGACAGCCATTAATAGTGGAGCACATATAAAAGTTCAATGCAGGTCTTGATAGCCTTGTTTAAGAAATCCCAAATTTGATGAAAAGAAGTAAGCCCACTACCAGTCTACCACATATCTTTTCCATCCACATTATATATATATATATATATATATATATATATGCACAGCATGAATGTCCATTATATTGTCGAAAAGAATTCAAATTCTAAGATTGAGAAAAGGAAAAGATATGCACACACATATTTCATCTTTTTTTTTTTTTTTCCCCCTAAGCCAAATTTCATTACCAAGCAAACAACTATACAAGGAACAGAGAGGTATACCCCTCTAGTTAGACTTTCTAATGAGAATTTTTAGGTCCGCCCTTGAAGAACCTTGACCTTACACGGACAAATTCTCTTGCAGTCAAAGTGGAAAGGCAAACCTAGCCAACAAAAGATGCCTTCAAAGCCCAAATGGTTAGGCAAGAACAAAAAACTAAAAAGCAATCCTGTCCGTTAGCTAAGGATCAGTGAAGGATCTATTGTGGCCCTTAGAATTAGGAGAGCATCACAAGGAGACCGGGGGGGGGGGGGGGGGGGGGGGGGGGGTGGGTGTGGGGGTGTGTGTGCTCCCAGGTAGGACCGTAGGAGTAGAAGTGAGCTTGAGATAGGGCTTCTCTGACTGGGTAGACCGAAGAGCATTGACCCTCGCCCTAGAATGCTTGGGAGTAACATGCAAAGTTTTTGTTTCTTCATTCTCTATTATTTGTACTCTTTTTTGTTGGGGTTGGGGGAGAGATTTTTCCACCATTGAGGATATTGTGGACTTTTTGGGCTCCTTGAGATCATAGTTTCAGTTTTTTGTATAGCTTGGGACGCGTTCCCCTTTTGAACGCCTTCTAATACATTTTATTTATCAAAAAAAAATCCTCAAGCCTACTCTCTCTAGAAATTTTGCATAAATCCAACAACTGGTTGTAGCTGGCACAGTTTGAGGTTCTTCTTTGTTTCTCTCTCTCTCTTTTGGGTCAACCATTTCCATATTTCTTGCCATCATCACCTTCACTCTATTCTTCCTCATCCCCTCAGCATTGATACTAGACTCTTAAGGTTGGGAAGAGGAAAGGATATAAAAAATATTAGACGAAGAAGCTAAAGATGTAATCTTTCCTTCATTATTTTGATCTTCGACCATGAGGAATTAGCAATCCTCTTCCTTTCTTCTATCCACTTCTATGCAAGCATAAGTGTCATAAACAAGATTGAATTCTGTAACTCCATTCTTACCTAGTCATGTTGATGGAAACAAAGGCTTTAGATTCATTAGGTCGAAGTAGGCAAGAGGAAGTAGAGTGGCCAAAGTTGTACATATATCACACTTTTGAGTTCAAGGCACCTCAACTCTAATTTCAGAAAGATATCCGTAAGTAAGATTAAGTTTGAAGGCTTTCAGGACTCCATGTTGGCACCAGTTCCAATGCAAATGTGTGCATAAGTAACCTTGTCCTCTTCTGGGTATGCTAATTTAAATACATTTCTATTAATGCTATCTACATAACTATGGTTATCTTCTGTCTACAGTGGCACATTGTAACCGGTACACTTGAGAACTCACACTTAGAAAGATCCCTGGAAGTTTTTTTTTTTTCTAATAAGAAATAATTTCCCTCCAAGTAACAAGTGTCCTCATCAATAACTTTTTATAACTCGTCCATATTCCTAATTCTAAAATTGGAGAACTGTTATTTAGCATTCTCATTAAGACATCTCTTCCAAAACTTCTTTGCCTAATACCTGGCCAGATGTAAATGAAGCCTTTTCCTTTTCAAGAAAATGGCCACTAGAGCACATTCCGATGTAGGAAACCCCTTTATTGAAATTTCCAAAGGAACATACCTTCCAGGGAAAAAAAAAAATCCAAAGGAACATCATATATTCCTTCTTTCCAAAGCCTGATATTACGACGTTTTGAGCTGGGATAATGTGTTGTATCAGGAGGCAAAGCATCTGCAGTTAGCACAGCAAGGTTGACCACACTACTGTTTGCTGTGTGGCAAGTGCTGAGCAGTCGTTGCATTGCAAGCAGCAGATTCATGCTGCATCAGATTTGACAGTTCACTGTTTTGTCAGGAGGGAGTTCATCCCACACTTTGCTGCTCTATTTGTGCATGGAAGGCACCTGTCTTCTCCACCTGCTCGCACAATGACATTGAAGAGATTACAATTTACCTATCACTCCCAAAATGGGTTCTGTTGTTGTAGTAGCATGGAAAGAAGAAAGTAGAGGAACCTCTATTGTCCTCGAGCTGATATTGCTCGTCAACAAGCCCTAGTTGTTTCTGTTCAGTGCCATCAACCACTACATGAGTGGCTTATACAAAGCATTGAAAGCTTGCAGAGAGGTTTTTTAGTACCACATGAACTGCTTGGGGCTGAATATCATGGTGTCATAAAGAAAGATAAAGTCCAATGTAAACTGGCAGACCGTCTTCTTCTTTGCCGATGGTGTCTTGCCCATACTAGAGGACTTCAATAGAGAGAGGAAGTTTTAGAGAAAAAGAGTCTATCTTTCCTACTTTTGTATTCTGTCAAGATTTATATAACAATATGTCGATATTGATTTTTTCCAATTCCTATTTGTTTTAGGAGTTGTTTTATATTTTTAGGAATTCCATATTTTGAGATGCTTTTACGTTAGTTAGACACTTACATAGATACTAGATCAGATAATAATATTTATTTTAGTGGAAGTGTTACCATGTTGAGTGTTTCTAAGGAAAAACTCGCTTTTCTCTCTCTCTCTCTCTCTCTCTAAACGTAGTTTCTCTCAGGTGTGGTCTGATTAACTTATTAAGGTAAACACTACATTGTTCATGTTTTTTTTTTGGTAATTTGTTTGTGTGATTTTACTTTTTCTTTGTTTCTTATTCTCTCTCTTTACTGTTTTGCTTCTGAAAGTGAAAATCTCAGAGTTGAATTTTGGAATACTGGTTTCTACAGTAATAAAAATCTGCATACTCATCTTTAAGATTTAATGGTTTATTAGTAGGGTAGCATATTAAGGTACATTGCTGAGAGTGGTGCGTATGTCTAAGAGTTTGGAATTCATCCAAACCCCTACAAACATGAGGACACAGCCAATTTACGATCATTACCCTCAATCCTAACCAAGGTAAAATGATGTTTACTTCTTATTTGAAAAATATAAGGTCATGAACATGAGATACAACAAACGTAATGTGATGTAAGTGGCTCCAAGCAGTTAACTTTTATTGTATTTTGCCACAAAACTACTCCATAATGGACAAGTACACTTTTTCTAATCCCACTATCCCCTAAATTTGGGCTTTTATTGAATTTTTTTTTTTTTTTTTTTAATTATTAAGATGAGTTTCTTTAATATTTTAAGCTTTCACGATAAAGAAAAATTACTAATTCGTGGTTCCCGTACCGTAACTTATATGACAACAAAAATCACTTAAACAGGGGAATATATAAATTTCTATGTTTAAAAAATATTTGAGTCCCATCATCACATAAATACATAATGCAGGGTGATGCAATGGAGATTACCAGTTTGACGCTATATAAAAATTAAGAAAAAATAGAAAATGGATAGCGATGCAATGGAGATTACCAGTTTGCCACTGTCTACTCTTTTTATAGAATTCAGGTTTTTATAAGAGCACTTACATTTAGTGGGGGATTCAGAGAAATTGTTGATAAGCTTTGTGAAAGGAGCATTAGGTGCCCCCTTCCTATCGCCGAGTGTAAACTGTAATGTATTTTGTTATTGTGGTAGCTATATGGATACACCCGTGAGGAGAGGAAGATTGATTTGCATAGAGGGTAAGAGATAAAGGGGTCGACCAAAACTAACATGAAAGGAAGTGATAAGAAATGATTTCAAAAAATGAGATGTAGTTGAAGATATGGCCTATAATAGAAAAGAGTGGAAAAAGAGAATCCATGTAGCCGACCCGTTTGTATGGGATAAAGGCAAGGATGGTGATGATGAAGATAGCTATATGGATGCTATTAAATTTTGAAGTAATGCACATTATATGGATTTTCCCCATCAATTGAATGGATGCTATTACTAAGTAATGCTTTTTTATTTCATTTAAATTTTTGTATTGTGAAGCATATTTTCTCCATACTTTTTCAATCCCATATTTTGCTCCATCTAAAGAGGGTTTGCCCATTAATTATGGAAAGGCAATATTATCGATGAATATTCTAAAGCTGCTATTGGAAATTAATTGAAGAAGATCCAGGAAATGATACAAAAAGCTTTTTTTATTGTCTTATTAGACCTTGGAAACAGAAGTGCCTATATACTTCTATATAAGCTAATTTTATGTTATTTAGAAATTCAAAACAAGGAGTTCGCCTTTCTTTTTTCTTAGAAGAAACTTTCTGGATATAGATGAAGGGTACATACAACTCACTTCTCAATTCTCATTTATGCACACTTCCATAATTGCATTCCATAACTATAATAAAAAATATCCCTATCTCATGAACCATTATTGATCCACTATTTGAGAGTAACAGTTCTTAATCTTACTATGGTATTTCTCGAACACAAGTGAGTTATCAGAAATTGTTTACTGAATTATACAGTGACAATGACAGAGGCATGGGAAGGCAATCACAAGGGGTGCAAATGACAGAGCTGAGGCAATGTCGCCTCAGCTTGAGCCAGTTCAGACTTGGCTCAGGATTATCATGAGCTCAAAAGAATCAGTTTGAGCTCAGCTTGTCATAGTTTCACAAGCTTGGGCTTGTTCAACTAGGATCAGCTGGGCTCATCTAACAAATGATCCAAACTCGAGCTTCAATTTAAGCTTGTGTTACAGATCGATCTTGGGTCATCTAGTATTATAAGCAAAGCTGAATTTCGGATCGCAAATCTGCAATTAGTAATTAGATCTGATTGCCTGGTTAAAATATACATTTATACACAGGCTATTCAACAATAAATGAAACAATAGAAAGTAAATAAGAAAGTAACCATCTGAAAGGTGTCCTCCTAAGTTTCTAACAGTGTTGTACCCAAGGATTATTTTTTCATTATAGTTCAAAAGGCTAGTCCTTCTAAAACCCAATTAATTAGAAAATAAAGAAAACAAGTCACTATAAAGAAAAAAAAAAAATGGTTCTGGATACTCAATTTCTTTGTGCCGAAATTTCCACACATAAATTTCACTAACTATATAGAAAGCTATCAACCAGTACTTCGTGTAGAATGTTCATGTCCTCCCTCCAGTATTTGTTTTACCCGTCGGATGAAACATACATATTTATTGGTGAGAGAGATAATGGAACATTTTTTACGGCTGACAAGGGTAATAAAAGTGGTGGTGCTGACTGGAGGTGATGGGTTCTGTGGGTTTGAGTATAAAGGAGTGAGAATTGAAGGGTGATGTTGGCAGCCATTACCAGAGATGTTGATGATGAAGAGTTGAAGGTGATGATGGGTGACGGGTAAGCACCCAGCAACAATCAACAGTGTCAATGTTTGTGAGACGAATGAGAGTGAAAGTAGAGCAGGTGCGAGAGTGTAGATGAGAGAAATGAGAGCATGTAGAAAGAGCGAGCGCAGGTGAGAGATAGAACTTCTTTAGATGATTTCTCATCTTGCTTACCTTTCCGTTAACATGTTCCGAATCAATACTTATCTGATGGGATTAATGGGTTAGTCAGAGAGTGAATGATGGACTTACACTGCAGATGACAGATTTATGTGGGATTTGTTCACGAGCTCATAAGAGTGCACATTGTTCAAGCTTGCAATCGATCAAGTTAGAGTTGTGCCTGAAGAGTTTGGTTCATTTGGAACCACAACAATCTCCCCCATTGACGTATTGATCGTAGCATAAAGCGACCTAAAATGGATGGTCTTAAACTTTGTATTGGTTGTGGTTTGATTAAATATGAGTGACTACTTAATTACGATAAGGGTACCATTAATTAGCTTTTCGAGTGAGTGAAAATGTAGGTTGAGAGAAGTTGGTCCAAACTTAATTGGTCAAACATTATTTCTCTGATAGTGATAAAATTAACTGTGGTACTCCAAAGAATGTAAATTGGACACATTGAAGTTTTTAAACCCTTAGATAGTCCAACCATACCCCTTTTTTGGATTTCTGTCCGTCTTTCAATTAGCCCATGATTTCAATTTGTGAGTTGAACAACATTCTTCTTCTTGATATCTCTCTTTCCTTTTATGTGTGTGTGTGTATATATATATATATACACACATACATTTTTCTGTATTGATTTCAATTTTATTTTAAAACTTAATCTTATTCTTATATAATCTGTTATTAATTTAGTTTGAGATAGTACTAGCTGTTACTTTTATTGGGTTTACATTTTTCTCCCTCTGGACCATAATCTTGTTTCTCCCTGACATAATCCATGATCAAGGAACATGATATCTGTGCCAAAAAGGTATGGAGAAGTGCATGTTTAAGGTCACATGCTTTGATCCTATACCATGGACCACAAATTTATTTAGTTAAGCAGTGATTTCAGTTATCGAACTTATCGTGAGTAACTGTTGCACCCTGCCATAGTATCTCCTTGAGTATAAATGCATGACCACGTCTCTCTTAGGAACTCCTCTAAGTGATGGTAACCCCTGACTTCCTTTTCAATTACCTAGCCAAGACGAATTAATATAAATTTATTTTCCCCACCTTTTCTTTTTCTGCTTAGAAAGATCTATCATCATTTTCTGATACGCTGTTATGAACTTTGGTATTGCAATTATGTAAATGCTACAATAGCTAAAGAAAAAGAAGATTCCATATAAATAAGAATCTGTCATTTTAAATTCCAATATTATACAAGTTCCTTTGTAAGATGGAACTTCTGTCAATTTTAATTTATGATGTTGGTTAAGTAGTGATTTCAGTTATCGTGACTAATTGTTGCACCCTGCCATAGTATCTCCTTGGGTATAAATGCATGACCGCGTTTCTCTTAGGAACTCCTCTAAGTGATGGTACCCCGACTTCCTTTTTAATTACCTTGCCAAGACGAATTAATATAAATTTATTTTCCCCACCTTTTCTTTTTCTGCTTAGAAAGATCTGTCATCATTATCTGATACGCTGTTATGAACTTTGGTATTGCAATTATGTAAATGCTACAATAGCTAAAAGAAAAAGAAAATTCCATATAAATAAGAATATGTCATTTTAAATTCCAATATTATACAAGTTCCTCTGTAAGATGGAACTTCTGTCAATTTTAATTCATGATAATTATGTTGGATAGGATAGAGCAATCCAAGGCACCAGAAGGTTAAACAAGTGAAGAGCTTATCACTGTGTGATTCAGAGCATAGAAATATTGGCATTTTTGAAGCTAAAACATGATTCCTGGAGTTAGCATTCGTCAGGATGCAATTGAGTCTCACACTGCGTATGCTGATTATGGTGTAGTACCTTCAAGTTTAGAAAGTTCCCCTTTTAGGAGATCTTCTGCTGTTGTTGGTAAGAAGCCTGGAATGGTGTCAAACAGTGCTGTGCATGACCTACTTGAGTGCCCTGTTTGCATGAATATAATGTACTCTTCCATTCATCAGGTATATATACTTAAACTGGCAAGCTGAAAATGCCCACCACTCCTTTTTCTTGTTTTTAATTTTAATATATGAATTAAATGTAGCTTCTGAACTTTGAGTAATTGTAACTTGAATTTTATGTCCCAGCTCCCCCCAAAATTGTCAAATACAAAATTGACAACTGGTGGCAATAAATAGTTGTTCCACTGACAAGGGGTCTATCATGGTAACAAAAAATTTAATTTAGGAAATTTTATTGCCAGGAATAATTCAGAATATGTTAAATAGGAAAAAAAAAAAAAAATTTAATAAAGTTAATAGTATAATTCTAGAATAAATTTCACCTATTATTTCCTTGTGGGTTTCCATTAGCAATTTATTTGCTTCTTGGGAGGGGTGCAGGAGGTTCTGCAATGCCAATATGTGCTGTCATTGTGAGTTAACAGGAAAGCAATATCAATGATGTTTGTAGATTCACTTTGTGTATTATCACACAAACCTTACTACAAGATACGCATACCCTTCATGCATAAAATGGATACTTTTTTTTGGAAATATATACTATAGTGGCATTGTGTCCTACAGACGCATATGTTTGTAACTATAATAATTAAATTAGTTTATATAACTGTAACGAGAACCTATGGATACTATAACTGTAAATATTTATAAAAGATGTGACTTAGCTTCATGCTGGCCAACTCGGGGGAAAAGTCTATCACATTGAACGCTGAGGCGCATATAGATCCTCTTATATTTGGCTCAATGTATTAAAAAGGCATACATTTAATGCACCTGAGGAGTTTCTTCACTTTATACTAGATGGGCATTGCTTGCTTATTCTTGATCTTTTATATTCTTGATAAAAAATTAGGTTACACTGCTGCTTGGGAAAGTGAATCTGGGGTGTGGTTGTGGAAAACTCCTGCTAAAATCTTCTTTTAAGGATTACCAATTTAGTTTTTCATTGTAATTAAATTTATCGAAGAACAGAAAGAAGAAAATTCACTAATTTTCCCCTTTTTGTTTCATTGAAAGATAATTTGGATTTGCATAGCTTATATATCTGAGGTCATTTATATTTTACCTGAGGTGAAGAGGAGAGAGATTTATGCGGGTGGGAGGGGGAGTGGGGGGAACTTGCTTAGTATCTAAGAAGCATGGAAAACGGATACGGGACACGGATACAACACGACACATTGACACGGCAAATCCTAAAAAATTAGGGCACATACACAGGGACATAGTGACTAATAAATATTTATTATATATATGTATGATGTTGCATTTTAAGCAATTCAGAGTAATGTTATTTTTATCAACCAAATAATGAAAAAAAAAAAAAAATTGTGTTTTGCTGGGAAAAAGAAATAATTTTAGAAAAAGGGTTAAAAAGAGATAAAAACAAAGAAAATTAGGGTTTGTTAGAAAAAAAAAAATTAGGGCTTAGTTAAAAATAAAGGGAAGAATCCATAGAAGAGAAAAAGTTCATGGAAACAAGAGAAAAAAGGAAAAAGAGACAAAACTGTTGTGAAAGGAAAAAAAGAAGTATCTAGGGTTTGTGAAGAAGAAAAATAAGAAGAAGAAGAAGAAGAAGAAGAAAGAAAAGAGGAGGATGAAGGGGGGGGAGAGACAGAGAGACCATCCACCGGCAGCAAAGCTTGGTTGGTGGGAGAACAAAAGAGAGTCAAAGATTATCGTGCAAGAGTTTGAACCTTTGAACTAACATATAAGCATAAATATCTGATTGTTTTATTATAAAATTGTATTGTAAAACAACAACTTCAAAGGAATTGTGTAATGACCATTGAAAGTTATTAAACAACTCCTCATAGTTACACTTCAACCTAGCTCTCTTTCTAAAACTTTCTTATAAATTCCTAAGAATTCCTTATCAAAAATAAAAAATATAAATAAAATCCCCAAGAATGGGATATGTGTGTCGGGCGCATGTCCATGGCTATTCAAAAAAATATAAAAAATCTAGACACATTTTTTGGCGTGTCCGACACGTGTCGGGGCATGTTCGGCGCATGTCTGTGTCTGACACGGATTCTTTGCCCTTTTAGGCATGTCCGTGTCGGACACGCCAAAAAATGTGTCTGAATTTTTTATATTTTTTTGAATAGCCATGCTTCCTAGCTTAGTATGAATGTAGTCCTTAATGGAAAGCATCATACTTATAAAAGGAAGATTTGGGCTTGTGTGGCTGTAGGCCCCAAATGTCTGCCTCGGACTTGATGAAGCAAAAACAAATCATCACTACCATTATACGGGCACACACATTATCCAACATTATTTTACACTGTTCCCATATTTTTCGGGTCCAAAGAAAAAATAAGAAAGAAAAAAAAAATTTGAGCAATAATATTTTATTTCTTTATCTTCATTTTAGGAAACTACCCAGCTCTTGTAGCTATAAGTACATACATGCTGATATGAAAAGTTGATCATTGCAAATATTATGACTTTTTTTTTTTTTTTTTTTTCTTCTAATTCTTTTTCTGTGCGTGTAGTGTCCAAATGGTCACACTCTTTGTTCAAACTGTAAGGCCAAAGTACACGACTGTTGCCCAATTTGCCGCCAAAATCTTGGAAACATTAGGTGCTTAGCTTTGGAGAAGGTTGCAGAATCATTAGAACTGCCATGCAGAAACCATATTTTTGGTTGTCAAGACATATTACCAGTTCACAGGAGGCTCAGGCATGAGCAGAATTGCAGGTTTCGCCCGTATAATTGTCCATATGCTGGGGCTGAGTGCTCTGTCACTGGTGATATCCACTTCCTCGTTGCACATCTCAAAGATCATCACAAGGTTGACACGCATGATGGGTGTAGTTTCAACCACCGATATGTCCAATCCAACCCCCAAGATGTTGAAAATGCTACATGGATGTTGACTGTAATCTCTCTCTTTCTCTTCTTTTATGAAATTTTTTGTCAACATTCGATTATATCCAAATTATATTATTTCTTTTCTTGGGCCAACATCAAAGATTGAACCCTTAAGTTCTATTTAGATATCATAACTGCACCATTGTACTACAATCCCTTTTGTGTATACTTGAGTTCATCAAGTGTGCATGACATGATTGCGTCACTTACAATAAGCTATTTCATGAATGATTCGTCAATATACCCTAAACTTTGTAACTATTGAATTGGTTGCAAAGTAGTGATGTGTTTGCATAAAACTATGGCAGGATTTCATTTTTTTCCCTCCACTTCAACATGTTTTTTCCTTCTCCTTAAACTTTATTTTTGGATTTCCACACTTATTAAATGTTTAATCAATTAAGTTTCAGAATCTAAATTTTTCTTGGAGAATAGTACTCTCAAATTCCAAGTTTTCATAATGTTTCCATTCAAGAAGTTCTTCAGTTGCTTTTACCTATCTAATGAGTTAATATTTCTTTAATTTGAACTGCGTAGTTCTCTTAAAAGGCTCTTTTTTTGGAATATCAAAGACATGGATTATTAGGAGTGAGTAATGTTGAGAGAGAGAATATATGAAAATGTATATCTTATTGAGTGAGTAATACAATAATACAATGGTGTTTATATAGGAGAAGCTACAGGATTAGGTGAGTGTAGAACAAGTAAACCCTAAACATGGTAATGCTATATATGGTAATGCGGGGTAGGTGAAGACGGCTACAGAATACAGAAGATACTAGTAAACCCTAGTATACAATGTAATCTAATTGTACATGTATGACAACTCATACAATAATGTACAACAAATAGCTTTGTTAATATTGTCTAGGCGATAGATGGGGTATGTGTTTGATTAGAAGGCCACAATGCTCAACAAAAATTATGGCGCCTTCCCCATACCTATAATTATGAAGATTTGATTCCTAGACCTGCAGTTCAGTTACCTAAAAAGTTTACTGGCAGGCTACCTAGAACCTTCTACCAGGGACATACATTTTTACATCTGCTTACCTTATTGTCGTAATTAGCAATAAATTGCAAACTTTTCCATTCATTTGGCAAGATATTCTCATGTTATTTTTGTCATTAGTTAGGAGTCATTGCTTGGTGCAGTGGTTAAACATTGGGAAATCGAGTGTGCATGGGTTCGAGTGGCAGCCACTTTGGGCAAATAATGTAAAGGGTTATCTTTGTACCTAGTCTATCCATCTCAGTACCCTCAATTTGCGGGAACCACATTGGATAATGCTTTTATTTTTTATTTTGTCATGGCTCTAATTATGGAATACAATACTTGAAAAATGCATAGGAGGCATGGTGCTTCCTTCTGATTTATTTGTTTATTCTAGGAAGTTCATGCTTATGGTTGTGTGTATCATTAGAAAAACTTGATCTTGCATGTGATTGACAAATTAGACATATTTTGATTGAACTAATTTCTTTATTCTAATAAACCAGATGGTTAGTTTACTGTTGGCATTAAAACCAATCTTGCAATGTAATGTGCATTTATTAGTTTTAGAGAAGACAGCAAATAGAGGAACAATATTTCTTTGTTTACTTAACAGCCCATCAGATCAAATTCTTGGTCCAATTCTATGTTAGCTCTCTCTCTTTCCTGGAAAAGAATATTCTCATTCTTTCATACATTTTGTTCCAAAACAACACTGTGTTTTTAAATCATAATGAAATAACAAAAAGACATGTTTGATTGTTTTATTTGGTGCGGTGCAGGTATTCACCTGTTTCAGCCACCAGTTCTGCTTGCACTTTGAGGCTTTCCATCTAGGAGTGGCGCCTGTTTACATGGCCTTCCTACGGTTTATGGGTGATGATTATGAAGCGAAAAAATTCAGTTACAGTTTAGAAGTTGGTGGAAATGGCAGAAAGTTAACATGGCAAGGAGTTCCAAGGAGCATTCGTGATAGTCATAAGACAGTACGAGACAGTCTAGATGGACTGATTATTCAGAAAAACATGGCACTATTCTTTTCTGGTGGTGATAGACAGGAGCTGAAGCTCAATGTGGCTGGCCGTATATGGAAAGAATAGTTGTAAGCCGGCAATCTGATAAGGATCTCATGGTAACCTTTTTTTTTTTTTTTTTTTTTTTTTTAAACAGTAAAATATATATCTGCTTTAGTTTTGTTCTTAAAATGTTATTGGTTGGTAAGACAGTATCTCTCTTTCTATATATATATATATTTGCTATGTAAATGGGCTAGATTTACAATGCTGGGTAGTTGCTGATCTGTTTCTGGTTTATGAGTCAATTGAGTTACAAGTGCAGTTGGCTTTGTTTGTGGATGTTTTGTTTTTTGGCTTCAATGGTGTCAATAACATCTTTTTCCCTTTTCCATGTTTTTGGTTGGTAATGGCATAGATAGAAGAAAGGTAGCAATCAGGAAGTGCAAATTGCATCCCATAGAGGTGATCAGTGTATGGGAACCAGAAGTCAGTCTCATTTGATGGTCTGCATTGATCACCATCAATCATTAAGCTTAAGTAGTTTGAATGTGGTGCGTTAATGTTGTGCTCGGTGGTGGATTATGCGGTGCTCTAAGACTGCATGTGCCAAGTTGATGATCAACTGGTTGAAATTGGACCTCTTTTGGGCAAAAATGGGTATCTGTTAGGTCTTGAGTTAGCATTTGCAGTCTCTGAGACTCATTCAATCTCACTAGAATGCTTGATCTCTCCGGAACTTTGCCAAGAAATTGATTTTTTTTTTTTCCTGAATTTATCTGTGTTTCTGCACAGAAAAATGCTTATATCTGAATTATTTGATCAATTCTAAGGGAATTATTGTCTTATAGAATTGGTCTCTAGAGATGGGGATTTTCAGTGAAGTTCTCTTCAAATTTCGGGGAATCAAGCAATTAAGCATGTTAATAGGCCGAGAAAAACACCCAGGAAGTTGTGGTTCAAGTTGCTTAATGCAACAGCATCAGGTTTGATTTGTGTGCGAATGGTGACTTTGGGTTTCCACATTTTTTAGCTGTGTGAGATGCCCAGGCGTATCACTCACCCAGTGTGAATTGTTCCTGTCTCGGTGCCAAAAAGTGTGGGCAGCAAGCGCTGCTTTGTAATAAGGACTTGAATTTTCTCCATGGTTTGTTTATTGTGTTTTCAAAGTGGGCTTTGGAGGCAGAATTACACTGAAGCTCTCTTTGTTTGGATGTAAAATATTTTTTAGAAAATATATTTAAGGGTGTGTGTTTGGCTCTTAATTTATTTCAGGCGTGCCATAGTCTTTCGACTCGGAGGGGTTGAATAGTCAAACTATCATTGGCGTCAACCGAATCTGGAATTGGCTTTTTTGTGAATTAGGCGACTGTTGAAAGGCAAGGATGACCACTTCCTTCAATTTTTCGGGTTGGACTTCAATAAAATAAGGGCCGGAATGGATGAAGGGAGTAACACTAGGTGTATAAACATTCATCAATCCCAAAGAACTTACAAAATAATAATAGAGGGAACCCTTTAAGTATTGTCGCCCATCTTATTTCGTAAGTGAAATTCTTATGCGCGAAGGATAAGAGTTTGATTATAACACTTATACTAGACTACTCATATGAAGAAGTAAAGTGCAGAAAAATTAGAAGTATGAAAAGTAAGTGCAGAAAGTAGACTATTGGTGTTGCCGTGGACCTCTTGTGCAGATCCCTCCAGTGCTAGAAATGCTACATCTCTCTCTCTAGAAATATCCCTCTCAATATATACACACACACACACACACACACACACACAAACAAACATCAAGAACACACACTAAACCTCTTCACGCACAGACTTCTTGACACTTTCTCTCTCTCTACACTTTGACATCAGGGCTTGAAGAACGGAGCAAGAACTTCAACACCCCTTGACTGAAGTCTTATACAAAATGCACATGCTTTCAATTAATCCGAATAGAATCATTTGATGACACGGCACTGTACCATATAATTAAACTAATTAAACCAAGGAGTTACTTTAATATATATTACTATATTTATTGACTTAAATTTTGATTTCAAGTAACAATCCCAAACATGTTATAACACCCCTTGTCAATTAGCACCACATGACTGAATTAGATAGGTGATCTACACGTGGAAATAATTCTCATCTGGCAACCTACATTGTTTTAGTCAATCAGTTCCAGATGGTCGAATCAAAACCTTATTCAAAACCAATCAGCACCACGAGGTTGAACTAATACCCTTCGAAATTAATCAATACCACATGGCGGAATCAAGAAGTCGCATGTTAGTTACGACTTCACTTATTAGGGGCGGAGCCAGAAATTTAAGGGGTAGTTTTTTTAAAATACTAGTCATAATATATGTATATTGAGAAAATTCAAAATTGAGAAAAATACAACTTAGAACCAAAAAAAAAAAAAAGTGCTAGAAAGAAAATTATGGAGAAGAAACCGAAAGAAATAAACGTAGTCAGAAAATCATTTTTCCTTTATCAATTGTTTTAGTTTTTCAAAAATCTAATTTTTGGAAGAAGAAAATTAAGTATTTAGATTACATTTAGAAAAGATATACCTAGATGAAAAATTAGAAAAAACATAATGAATTTTAACTCAATTTATTTTATTTTATTTTAAAATCAACAAGATTATTATTGAGTTATTAAACAAGATAAAAATATAATAAAATTTGTTATTTAGAAAGTGATAACTAAAAGTATTAGCATATATGATATTATTATTGTTATTTAGAGTCTCACAATACTTTAGTTTATCTTCTTTCCAAATATTTCTAGGACTTGCCAATAAAGATTGTTACATAATTTGAGATATTTTTCTTATAAATATATGTTTGACAAAAAATACTTAATGCATTTTTACCAAATATGAGGGAACATTAGTTTTTTTTTTTTTTTTTTTTTTTTTTCTTGAATTAATATTATAGATTTTGTACGTGTATATATAAATAAAATAACAATGTGTTGCGATAAGGAATATAATAATTCTTTACAAAATAAAATGACTATAATAATAATTATGAGCTTAAATTTTAATTTAATAATATTTGAGCTTTTAAAAGTAGTTAAAAAAAGAGTAAGTTGAAAGTGCAAGCAAGTGAACGTCATCCTTTTTCTCTACAGTAGAGACTATACACTTGTAGCTCTTTTGTGAGTACAACTCTCTAATAAATATCTTGTCAAATTTCAGCTTTCTTAGCCCCCATAGTCGTTAACCATTTTGAGCATTGCTGGACCAGATATGTAGGATGTTAATACAATTATTAAGGGCTGTGATTGAAATACACACATTACCGTGTGTTTCTAGTCCCCTGTTATACATGTTAAATACTAATGAATGAAATTTCTATGAAGAAAATAGTCGGCCTCAATGTAAATGATTAAGACACAAAATTGTATTATAACCATAGAAGACTTTGACTAGTGATTTCTGTCATTTCTTTTTTTAAAAATATGAGATGTACGGGAAATTAAAAATGGTCGAATTTGACACTATAACAAATTAGGTCATAGATGAGGTGTGCCATCACTTTTCTGATTTTATTTTTCATTCATTTTGGCATAGTGGCACATGATTACAATACAGCAGTCACACTGTACAGCATACATGTAAAAACCCAATGGATCATCATTAATCTCTCCCAACTGTTTTTTATTTGATGATATGACATTTCCATGATCTTAGGCTTTTGTTAATATAAAATATAATATATTCTCAATTAATGTGAGCCCGTGCTGACCTTTTTTTTTTTCGTTGAAAGGGTAAGCCGTGCCGACCCATTTTCTTTTCTTAAACTGAACTTATTTTATGGAGGGAGCGGGTCGACTGATTCATCTGCTTTGGTGGACCATTTGAGACATGTTCTAATGCCACGTTGCAGTAAGGAATGAGTGTCAACAAATTGAGCCACGTTGTTTCTAGTTGGACGAGGACGAAATTAGGTTTTATTGGTGAAAGTCCAAGGGGTATTGTACCTTCGAGTTCTTTAACGGTTAAATGTGGTTATGAGACTCACTTGTTGAATGTGATGGTAAGATTCACTTAATAAATAATTCAATAATTGAGAAGTGTTTCAAAAATACTATATCTCAGTCTAGTTGTTGACTCTTTGTTATCTAGCGGTTGAATTGAGTTGAATTGATAAATACCCAATCACTATAGTAGTGTTACATAACCACCTATTTATACTCAATTATTTTTTTTATTTGGATCCTGTGGGACAAATGACCACTATTACATTCTCCCCCATCCAAACTAGTAATGCCCTCATTGTGACTCGGGTCACCCTGCCTATCAGGGCTGCAAATTCAAACGCCCTCCGGGTCAGGCGCTTGGCGTGATACCGGATCAAGAATTGGGTCTGACTTTGATACTAATTATAACGGGTGGCGCTTATCCAATTATCCAAAGGTTCAAATTGTTGGGTAGTACTACATACCCACTCACTTATACCCGATCACTTTCTTATCCGAATCCGGTATGAGACAAATGAGTGTTACAACTAACTGTAACCTCATATTTACAGCCAACATAGATAGCCCATACATTTTAGTAAGTAAAATTCTTTTAAGATTTTATGTTTTCAGAGAGTTTCTAAACATTGATTCCTGTCAAGTTCAATCAATGACCCTTCCATCAAAGCATAGTGGATATTGGACACTTCTCCATCGATCCATCCTTCAATCAAGTTATACTGGTTTTTAAAATGATTTTTACTCCAAAGATTGATCATCCATTTGATCGATGACTGCTCGATGGATCAACCATTCGATCGATACATTGTTGTCCAATTTTAAACCAGTTTCAAAAAACAGTTGTAAAATATTAATTTTGAAGAGCCCCACTTCAAAAAAAAGATTGAAATAATTTCGTGAGTGTCACCAAAAATCAAACTAGGTCAATTCAAGACTTTTCAAGGTTAAGTTTTATGTGCCCTAGACTGAGAATGAGTATTAGATGGGATGGGGTAAGAGTCAAGACATTATTTTTATTTATTTATATATTTTTTTATCAAAGAAATAAAGGATAATTTTGTAAAGAATGTTTCCTTTTTTTTTTTTTTCTTTTTTTTTTTTAATTATTGTAAAGTGTTGGAAAATATATGTTTGATATGACATTTAAGATATAACAAACCGTATATTAATATGTCATGAGATAATTAATAATATGTTAAAAAATAATTAATTAAATATGCAACTTTATATTTAATTAAACATAAAAAATAGAGTAATAAAATAATAAATACTAATATAAAGAATCCGGAATACTAATATAAAGAATCTGGACTGAGGCTAGTTATACTATGTCCTTAAGACAATTTATGCCCCGCATGGTGCTAACGGATTCCATGACGCTTGTCTCCCAGTATATAACGGTCTACATCCACCAATAGCAATACTTCAAACTCGTGGATACAGCAAACCACCTCTGTTTAATACTATCTCCGACTTAAAAAATGCATATATATATATATATATATATATATATATATGCATTTTTTAAGTCGGAGATAGTATTAAACAGAGGTGGTTTGCTGTATCCACGAGTTTGAAGTATTGCTATTGGTGGATGTAGACCGTTATATACTGGGAGACAATATATATATGATGAATTGGATCAATCTGAACCATTTGGCTCGAACCAATATCAATACGACTCATCATTATTGGTTTTGGGTCTAATGGTTCAAACCACTGGACCATATGGCTTAGACCCACACTCATTTGGGTTAGGTTTATGTTGAGAGAGGAAGAGAAGAAAATGAATTGCCTGCTGAAGTGTGAATTTTCAAAGTGGGGTTGATGGGTATTTATAGAGTACATGGTGTCTATTGGGATTAGGTGTGTCCCTTCACCATCCATTGCACCAATTCAATTCAACAATTGAATTTCATTATTCAACAGACACCCAACACACTCCTATTAGACGCAATGCTCTGGAGGGAAATTTCCCCACCAATCATAACACCACGTATCCATAAAAATAAAGAAGCCTATCTGTTAACACCAAAACTTGGCAGCCACCTCAGTGGTGACGTGGATCAGTGAGGAGCCGACAAGTGTTCAACACGGTTCCAAGGAAAGTCGGCCAATAGAAAGACAAAAGGAGAAAATCTAGGGAGATATATTTTAGCCACTTTATTGATAAGGCTGTTGCTAAATATATTTACAGAGGAAAGACTTAGAGTTTAGTCACAATAAATAACTAAATCCCTACGAAGTAGGAATTTAGTTGAAGAAGGAAAAGGAA